GCCCCCCCCCCCCCCGAACCAAGTAAAAGAACGCCAACATCGTTTCAAGAAAACTTGCTGTTCCGCCGCATCCAGCATCCAGCACCCACGCATCCCCCCCCGCCGCTCACCGCTCACCAACCCTTTATCGTTCGCCTTTGACCTTTGACATTCTCGCTCCTCGCAATCCGGACCGGGCTGACCTTGCACCATGCACCTCATGTACTACCTGGAGAACGGCAAGCGGGTCTACACGCTCAAGGTTGGTAACCGTGAAGAATGTGGGGCCCGCTGTACGCTCCCTTTTCCCAAAACACATCACGCGCGGGGAGAAGCGGTGGATAGCCATGAAGCAAGTCATGCTTGCATTGGGATACACATCTTCCGTGGCTCTGAGTGTAGATATACATGTAGGTCAGCTGACTAGCGTGTGTGGCATGACAGTCCAACTGCTTCGCGCAATGGAGCTCGCCCCAGTTTTAGGCGGTGAAAAGAGTCTGCTGGTTCTTGTAGATCATTGCGCTTTTGGAGACTAGGCAGACCTCTACTACGCCCAAGGGGCGGAGAGATGGCACCCCCGCCAGAAATTCTTTCAAAGCTCGATTGCTCTACATGTCTACAGCAAAGGGGTTGCGGAAAAGGCCCGATACGTCTGCGGAAAGCCCTGGACGAGCTATTTCCAAGGCCACCATTGTTGGTATCGGCGCGACCTTGGCTGTGGAGAAAGCGAATCGAGCTTCGAAAATCGGTCGAGGGGGGGTGCCATCTCGTACGAACTGCTGTTGCTGCGGGGTGTGGAGACCGCCTGTGAGGCATGATGCTCCGCTTCCGCTTGCTTGAGAGTCACATGCCTTCCCAACCTGCCTGTTGCTGCCTCTCGGACGGTGTTGTAGCTCGAGGTACACCGATGTTGTCATGTGGCAATGCAATGTTTTGACCGCTCGTGAGGTTATCACCGTTAAATACATGTAGTGCCGTGTGGTTTGGGGAAGCCGATGTAAGCAAGTGACGGTTCCACGGATGTGGATCGTCGGGGTATCTCCCGACGCATCTTTGGCGAGTTGGAATAGTTTTAGGAAAAACAATAAATATTTCCCCGTGTTCCGAGTAGCGGAAGGTCTTGCTTTTGCGGCGGTGAATTCCTCCGACTGTTTGCCTGCCTTGATGCTGTCGTGCACATGATGCCCACTATCTCCTGTAGCTTGCCTACGAGGGCAACCTGACAAACAATTTTTACCATCTCCTCATTCCTGTCGACCGGGTCAGCCGTGCGTGGTCAGCCGTGCTTTGTCAAGCAGCACTGGGTAGGGTTGGGACCTTCCAACATGTGTTGTGTCCCATTGCGTGTGTGACGTTCGCTGTGGTTTTGATTGCCCCACCAGAAAGCAAATCCCGCTAGCTACCTGATCGGGTCCCCCCCCGACCCCCACGATGCATGTCTGTTGTGACCTGGCCAAAAAACGAATCCCGCCGGCAACCTGACCCCCCCCCCCCCCCCC